TATTCTAACTAATAAAATAAATATATATATATACTAGAGTTATTACTTACTTATTATTTATCTATTACTTTACCTAAGTAATAGGTTATAGTTTATTAATTATAGCCTTCTTAAGGCTCTATATTATATATAACTTTATATAGTCTAATAGAGGTCTTTATTTATAATACTATATTTTACCTAATCTAACTCTAAACCTTAATAATAGTTATCTAAGTTTAAGTAGAAATACTATAATAAAGAAAAAGATAAAAGAGAAGAATAAGATACTTACTATAGTATCTATTATCTAGTTAGACTAGCTAGATAATAAAGAGATTAAAACTTAGCTAAAAGTTAGTATAAGTAATTATAAGCTTATAGGGATTATTAAAATAGTTAGAGAGCTTAAAAAGAAAGAAGAAGAAGAGAAAGAAGAAGAGGAAAAGAAAGAGAATAAAGAATTAAGCTTTAAACAGACTATTAAGCTATTTAAGCTAGGCTCTAAGATCTTAGGATAAAATAACTCCTTTAAAGAGGAGTATTTTAAAGCTGAAAGCCCCTTAGATATAAAATATAGTAACTAGTTAGCTTTCCTTAAGGCTAAGTATATATTACTCTAAAGTAGTAATTATAACTACTGCTGCCTCTAGCTGCTTTACTAGAAGGTATAAAGACAGCTGCCGAGGTTACCTGGGTTAACCGAATTACACACAACTGGGGAGGAGAGGAGGAAGGAAAGCAGGGTGAGAGATAGATAGCTAGGCCAGCCAAATACAAGCCCACTGTCTCTCTCAAACACACGAACGTATATATATACACCTGTCCTCGTAGCCCCCCCCCACTCCGGGACTAAGGCCATAACAAAAGAAATGAGGTTCGATTTTCAGAACTCCGCTACTCTAGTAGTACTGACCCACTCAAAGAGTGAAAGAAAATGAAAGAAAATAGTGAGATGTAGAAAGGAAAACCTTAATCCTGAAAGCTGACAGACAAAAGATTGGCCCACAGCCGTGACTTATTTACGTGATCCTCTACTAAGTACAATAAACGCCTACTTGAAAATTCCGATTCTCGGGATGTGGACCCAAAAAAGGACCAAGACAAATAACAAAAGGAAAAAGTAGCGCAGCCTTTGATGAGACAAAGACAAGCCATGCAAGGGCAAGCAAGCTGAAATCATAGGCTAGATTGGGAAGACATTAGTTTGACCTATTTCAGGACATTCTCTTCCACTTTTAGGTCACTTAATCGGATTCCCTCTTTGTTTCGTACGACAAAAGGTATCGCTAAGCCCAGCTGCAGTGCGTTGTGGACGTCATTTGAAACGAACTTGCACCAAATCTTGTTTAGCTCACTTGTGTTTTGCTTAGGCTTCAGACTTAGGTCCAGGTAATGATATTACCTTTGAGGGATAGCGCCGAGAGCTTGTCCTGTATAACACTTATCGTTCGGGCAAACAGCAAATTTGAAGGATGCGCACGTCCCGGTACACGTTCTCTGGCCGAAGGGGGTAGGATAGAAAGGAATCTAACAAGCGGCTCATCCCCATAAGAAGGGCGTCACACGTGTAAAGATTTACAAAGCTTTCACTCCGTGTAGTCACAGCCTTAAGCTAGTAAAGCTTTGCATTGCTTGTGTTGAAATGTTGGGGCTGGCATCTTCTATTACCGTTTAATTTCATACTCGAACTCCCTTCCATACCCTTAGTGATTCAGGCAGAAGATCAATGAACCTGGGTATTATTAGAATATCAAACCAGATGCTATACATAGGTTCCTTGTCTCCGGCCCTGACAAGCTTGTCCTTCTAATGATTTCATCAAGGGAGAAAGTGTAGAAGGGGAAGGAGAAAGGATGGAGGAAAATATACACGGTTTCTTTTTATTTCTCCAGAACATAGTCACAAGAATGGTACGGTCATTCTATAAGTAGAGAAGAATTCCGCAGAAATTTGTTGCCTCACAGCTGCCAACATTCACAACTCACATTCGAAATCAACCTCTCGGCCATCTTGACTCTTCGATTTTCATATCAAAATGAAAGCCTATAACAAAGACTCAAACGAGAAAATATTACGTTGGAGAGAGGATCTGCATGAGAAGGAAGAATGGGAGAAATATGAATGGAAGTGTATAGGCTGTGAAAAAAGCCTGACACATATTCATTTCGACAATGATGCTCTCATGCCGTATCTTGAAGATCCTTTTTCAGATCAACCCTCTATTCCCTCGATTCCTTCCTATGCCTTGCTTCCGGATGGAGATTCTTCCACATTATGCAGAGTGTCGAAGCTCCTCTGCAACGAGTGCAAGTACGAGGACAAAGTTAAAGAGATCCGATTGACGGGTCGGCCTGTGTACCCTATCCATTCAAGCCGATACATCAAATATGACTCTTTCCTGTTCCGGTACTTCCCAGGCTTAGCAGACATGCTGAGTAGAAAGGAATTTACTGATCGTGATCCTCCACAACATTGGCCCACATATATGGTACGCTGCGCTGCGTGCGAAAAATGGAAGGAAGTCAGGCACTATTTGAATTGGTGTCTTTTTTGGGATGACTTGCTGAAGGAGCTTGTTTCTGATGGATGTATTGATCTCAAACCCCATGATTCCTTCGAGTTGCCTCAGACCTGCGATCAATGCACCGACTTGCAACAGAGCAATTTGTCTCCACGCTTGGTTTTGTTCCCGATATGGAAGAGGATTGATGGTCTAGTGTCGGACTTTCCTGGCACATTTGGCAAACAGAGGCTCATTAATCTGGAGCAATCGCTCGCTTATGTTCGGAGTATCCGAGAAGGACTCGAGACAAGCGGAGGAGACCGCGGCTTAAATGGGGAGGGACAGCAGAATTCTCTTGATGAGGAAGAAACTCAAAAACGAAAGGCACAGCTCGACCACTGTATCTGGTTGTTAGAAGCTGAGAAAATAGTCGACCACGTCGACATCATATAAAATCAAGTATTGCGAATCTATAATTATGTTCTTATACACAAGCTTCAACCAATGCCGTCTTCATTTGTAGCGACGTGGGTGAAGACTGACATCTTAGAACCTGGCTTCGGGGATGAAGACAGCACTTACTTCGAACAATAAAAATTCTTATAACAAACCCGTCGCTGAAGAAAATGACCACGCTAAGATACGGGGAGCTCTTGAGCTCTCTTTATGTTCGACTCATCCGTGTTATGCTTGCGGGGGTGCCTCCTCTTCCCAAATGAATTAGCCATTTCACCGACAACTTGGTCAATGTGCTTCCTTGACAATAACAGCAGAGAGTACTAGATGTAGCTGGGGTGTATTTGTGCGTCTTAATAAAATACTTCTAAAGAATCGATCTTAAAATTACTCAGATGAAATTGAATTAATTAATGAACAGCTTTATTTGCGGCTCCCTTTCTTGCCGTAAGCAAAAGATTGGATATCAGAAGATTAGGCAACATACGCGATCATATTAAGCGGATTTAATCATTACTTACAGATGCATATGGCTGTGAAGCTGATATCACTTGCTTTGACGTGGCCTATGGCAAGAATTCTAATATGTATATGTCGGGCTGGGATTTAAAGCGTTTTTCAAGTCGTTATCTATTGGTAGAGTGTGCTCCTACCCGTGCTCCTACTTCTGACTTCTAATCAGGCAAAGAAATATAAATTGAAGAGACAGGATGATTAGATAAAAAGAAAATGAAAATGAAAGAGCTAGTAAAAGATAATTGTACAAGGAAAAAGTAAAGGAGGGAAAAGAAATCGGGAGGAGAATGGGATCATGTCACTCGTTTTTATACTAACAAAGGAAGAGGAAAGGGTAACTAAGAATAATACCGTTCTCACTATTTTCGATTTTCAGAGGCCTATTATAGGCAACTTTTTTCTATCTTTGTAGTATACGTAATTCAATTTTTTGCTGTTCTAAACGGGAATAGAACTTAGCCTTCTTCATACGACTTTCACAAGCTGAAGAGCATGCATGACCACATCCAGCGCTGTACATTCGCTTCGCGAGGTCCAAAGGTGTTTCTGAGAACGAGTCTCGGTGATCAAAATCGGAGAGGTGTCTGAAAATGTCAGGAATGTGCTCTGGCATGATATTGGGATTGATAACAGCCATGTGGAAGCCACTTCTACCAAAGTTGTCGTGGAGGTTCATGAGACCCGATCTGATACGAATTACCTCACGAGCTTCGCCATAGCGTGCGCAGTAATGAACAACCTCAGAATCAACACCGTCATCAGCCTCAGCGGAGAATCTCTGCTTGCGTTGTAACAGCCAATCTTTCACATCCTGTTCCCCCCACGCAATTGCATGATGCAACGGTGTGAGCCCCTCCGAATCACGCGCAACGTAATTTTGATCGTAATAGTGATTGTGAAAGACATGTTGATCGCGAGAGCGAAAGTTGCGAGAGCGAAATTTAGGGCGACCGTTGTAGCGAGGGTAATTGAGAGTGTAGTCACCCAACATGACCAGACTCGTTCCAGGGCAATGGGCGGCTAGATGCACGGGAGTTCGCCCAAGAAGATCAGGTATATCGACTTTAGCACCGTTTAAAACCAACAGGTTCACCAAGTCGTTCTTGACCCAAGAGTTCATTTGGACGGCGTAATGGATCACCGCCCGCCCGAATATGTCTACAGTGTTGATGTGATCTTTGTTGTCGCGGATCACCTCTCTGATACTCTCAATGCTCAGATCTCCTTCGTCGAGGCACAAATGATGAAGAGGAGGCAAGTTGTTCTGTGGTGGCCCAGGGTTTGGGGTGTTTCCTGAGTGCTCTGATGTCGGTTCCAGTCCCAGATGCGCAGATGTAGAATTGAACGCTCCAGGGAAACGTGCATCATGGGATTTTGAAAGACTCACCACTCTCTTCAAAATTTTCCAGCCAGAATCTCCAATGTAGCTCCGTGTTTCCTCTATAATAGAGGTCAAGTCACACATGATGGCGGAACGAGTTTCCTTGTCTGGTCCGTGATCTGCATGCATATGCACCAGACTGTTCATCAAAACCGAAGCTACTTGGAGGAAATGATCTTTTTGGCTTGGAAGTCCAAGAAGATTCCAAAATGACCAAATACCAACATGTATGTTGGTATCCGAGGGCTTCCTTTGTAGCTCACGATCATTGCGGTTCACAGCGGTTTCAACAATTGCCCGGTAACTGGGCACCTTCTCTACCACTAATAGTGGTAGCAAAAGTGAAGGGAACACTGCGCCCTGTTCCCCAAGACCAGCGAGAGAGATTTGGGTAGATATCTCTCGAAGACATGAGTTGTCCAGGGCAAAACGAGTCCGCAGTGAACCCCCGGGAGGTGTTTGGCCGGTTATGTCCGTCACTTCAGCTTCGCCACCTATCGGCTTCTTCAGTGTTTTGGCCAATGACCACATGAACAAGCTGAACAAATGTTGTGCAAGGCTGGTTTGAAGAGAGTCCTCTGGCTCTTGCACAAGAGTTGTCACTTGACCCAAACTTACGAAGTGCTTGCCTGGCAAGCCCGATGAGGACAATGTTGACAGTCTTGGGTCTGAGGATTGCGCGGGGTCGGTGTATGATAATGAGGTAGCTCCGTGTTCGAGAGCGATTAGCCCGAATTGACGGGTATCTCGAAAAGGCTCACTGAACCACAGGTTGATCTCTTGGAATAGGGCTGGGAGGGGGTTTCCTTCTAATGGCATTGGATAAAGCGACGTGTGGTTTTGAGAATGCGCCCGAAGCCACTCATCTTCCTGGGCAACGCTTGCATGTCCAGCAGGTGGCCCAGTTGAGATGCCTTCTCCAACAGGTGCCGCTTCGGCTGTCAGCTGCGTTCCTCGGGCTTCGTCCCTGCAGCTGGTCTTGAATGACCAGAGGGACAGCATGGCTTCCAGATCGCCAGCTGGTACGTGCCATTTCTTCCTCTTGTCATCAAAATTGATACGGATCTCAACAATGTCATCTGGGTGACCCCCAATCCTCCACAAAAGACTGCTGCAGCCAGGTTCTAGGTGACCTTCACCCGAGGTAGCGAGCGTGTTTAGCGTACCCTCTATGGCTCGAGCAACGGAAACAGCCAGCGTCGTCAATGGAGGAAGTGTGGCTCCAGCATTGGCGATACCTTTCCTAAGGTTCAAAACTTCTTGAGCCTTGGAAGGCCGAGGGGTGGAATCCAGCGGAGCGTCGGGGATAAGTGGCACACATTTCGCGAGATCCTCCCAGCTAGGGGCCTTCCAGTCCCAGCCACCGTTCGCAGCCCACGGACGAGAAGAGCTGTCTGACTCTGCATGTAATGTTGACTCGGGCGTTTGCGACCATGGTGCATCTTGGAGGCCTTTGGCCATGGTCATCGAAAGCCAATCCATCTCAAACCCCGATGTGAGACGCCTTGCACTTGGATGACTCGCAAGATGGTTGTTGATGAAATACCTGACACCAGTCATCACGAGTAGGGCGACTAAGTGGAACAATTGCATCACAGGGTGCATACCGCTCAGCCCCAACAACTGCAAGATAAAGGCCACAACGCAGCAACCGCTCGAAATGTCACAGAGCATAGTCAGTGACCGACTGAGCTCCCGCCTCTCAGTGGTGACGACATATTCTTTTGGCTGGGTTGGAAAGATGGCATGGGGGGAGAAGTGCTGATAGTTGATCGTTGACTCGCCTTGGAGCCAAACTTGACGGTCCAGCTGCCATCCGGGAGTTGGGCGGTACACAACTATGACTGTACTCCGAAGAATGATGCAGCCAAGTATGAACGAGCAAATGAACATCACAAAGGAGCCAACGCCATACATCACCTTCCAAACCGGTGACTCTTGGCCATCTCTCACCCCCAAATCGGGCTTTACTCTAACAAGCACCAAGGGGCAAACCAAGCCAAAAAGAAAACCAGCGAGTGCCAAGAATAGATGTAAATCTCCAAACTTGGGATGCAAATGCTCCTGGATATTGAGGCTCAGATTGGGTGATCTGGTCTTGTCATTTTTGATCAAGATCACCCCAGCATCATCACCAGCGCCACCTTGAGGCATCTGGGGACTGCCAGAAGCCCGGGAGGATATATCTTCAAGGGGCACGGTGCTGTGCTCAACGTCCGATGGCGAGCTAGAGCGACGGGTGTGGCGACCGATGGCGGAGCGAAGGGAGGACAGATTGATGGATGCCAGACGGCGAGTGAAAGAGTTGAAGGTGGACTTGAGGACTTGGTACATCTTCCCAGGGAAGGCAGGTACTAGCAGCGATGTTAGATCGACTTGGGTAGAAAACAAGGGAGCAGGTATGCAAGGGAAACTGACCGTCTCCGACCTCAATGTACGTTCCCACGCATTCGGAGAGCTTCTTCACGACAATACGATCGGTAGAAGATGCACCGGCGCGCTTCAAAACGAAGTACTCCTGAGTCTTCGCATCTCCGATCGTGCGCACGACCCTGTGTCCGTCCCAACACTCTGACACCTCATCAGAAGTCGACGGAGTCAGTTCTGACTCGACCGCAGGACGGCTCTCCCTCGGCCTTCCAATCACATTCTTCATTATCCGGCTACCCGCTAGGCGAATGGCACTGACGATAAGTGCCGGGACGCCAATGGGGCATATGGCGATCACCAGCACTTCGAAATACGTAACAGATTGGCTGATCCAGTGGAGAAGCATCTTCTCACCGAAAAGCGAGAGGAATCTCAAGAATGAAGGGATTAGTGTCAGATATTGAAGTACTTGCATGGGGAACTCACGGGGCCAGATCTGTGGCGAGGTTTTTGGCGGCATCGTCGATCCAGTTTGCATGTGCCGGACAGGCAACGGCGAGGAGAATCAGAATGAGGGAAAGCATTGTGTCGATATTCTATACTGCGTTTGTTCAGCGCAACAGTAGAGGATAGGAAAGCAGCGGACTTTGAATACCAAATTGACAAATGTTCGATATCAAAAGATAAACAAAAAAGGGGGTAGTATGGTATCGATATTCTAGACAGCGTTTGTTCAGCACAACAGTAGAGGTCAATAAAGCAGAGGACTGTGAATACCAAGTTGACAAATGTTCGATATCAAAAAATAAAAATAAAAAAGACTTGGGTGGTTGTTTGAACGAGCAAAATCTAAGAGATATTTGGTATCCAATCCATCTAAGGGGTGGGAGGATTCCATTAGTATTTCAGCGTCTCGTGGATGGGAAGATCTCAGCCATCATTCAATAGAGGCAAAGTCTGGACATTCCTTTTTACATTATACAAGGACCACGACAATATCGCAAGGGTTAAGGAAACAAAAATCATATCACACCCCTCCCCAGGTGATGTAGTAACAGATCTAGACTTCTTCAGTCGGCTGGATAATGGCCAGCCAAGGACTGGGCGACCAGGTCAGGGCTCCGAACTATCATATCGAGCTAGCCACTCCAATGCTTCTGTTTTATGTTACGAAGCATAAAGATCTAATGTGATTTCTTGCTAATCCCCTATTGAAGACATTGAAAATGGCCCAGGGCAAATTATGTGCGGCTATATAACGCCCACTCGATGAAGAAGAGACGTAGCATACCACCTCCTCTCCAGGGTCTCTCAATATGAACAATAACACTCCATACTGCTAGTATAAATATTGCGGCTGAAATTGGAAGGAAAAGAGAAGACGAAGAAAAAAGAAAAAGAATTGGCGACGGACACCCCTACGACAACAGCTACCATATGCTACCTACTCAGATAGCGTCTGCCTTTACTGACAGGTGCCGGTTGATCATTTGGTCGGTTGCCTCAGCCGTTTAACTAAGTGCAGGCCAAGCCTCTCTGGCTGAAGCAGAACGCACCAGTACCCATCCTGCAGTAAAGCTCCCAGTCTTGTTTCCCGCCTCTCTCTAGTCTCTGCGCACGAACGTCACTACGTCAAGGTTTGGAGATGATCTCTCTGTCCGCTGGCGCTCTATTGTCAGCCATGTGCCGCAGGGGCCATCACACAATGAGAGTTGGCGGGGCTCCTCCGTCCAGTTCTCATCGCAGGTTGGCTGGGTGGGAGAACCAAGGGGCCGCTATCACGAGCTGTGATGCATTCTCCTGGCTAGCGCGAGTTCGCATGCATCAGTAGAGGTATTCAGAAGGGCTATTTTGGGGAGTGTCGTGTGTTGGGCGGACTACAGACGGGTAAATGAAACACCACCCCTCTGCCAAATTTCAAAATTCTGGTCAAACAGGTGGATGGTGGCGCTGGAGCCCTCCTAGTCCTGTTAGACTGCAGCCTCATGCGCCATTCGGATGCAATACCATCAGTCATCACAGTTACACAGACACACCGACCGGAAAGGGGGCGGGCCCAATCACCGGCAGCCGAATATTCTCTGCTGATCCAGACACAGTGAGGGCAAGTGATTACGGGCTAAACGACGGTCGAACGTAGCAGCCGTAAATAGTCATGACAGGCGCCTTTCAGCTCAGGCAAGATCCAGGTCTTGGCGTTCCATGATACAGTTTCTGAACCATGTAGCAGAGGCTATTGGGGATCCAGCAAGCAAGCCACATGATTCAGAATTATTAATCAAGATGAGCAGGACCACACTAATCTCCCACCTACCATCCGCTGGACGACAGGTACCGCGATACTGTATGACATCAATGGGGCTGGATGAATGGATGGATCATGGGTCAGGTGGGCGGCCAATAGTGTGGAAGAAAGCTCAACTCTCGCGGAGGGGTCATCATTCAGCTGGTGAGGCGTCATTCCATACATTTTGGGAGATTTTCCGAGGAGTGACATCAGTTTCAAAAGCTTAGGATCTACGTATCTTGCTGAAAACGCAAGTATCATCAACTCATCGCACTCTGCCACGATAGATTGTCAAAATTATTGCTGACCTGGGCTGCTTGGGGCAGGCAACCGGGAAGATGTGTGGCACAAGCCTCTCAGCATAGACGTAGCGCAGATCTTTGAGGGTCCAAGTACCTGGTTATTGCGCCTGTACAGTCACCTGTGCGGTGTTGCAGCTGGGCGGGGCCGTGTCAACAGCACCCTACCTTGAACCACACCTCTGGGATCGACAGAAGCTAATCGACACTTTGTCTACGGGCTGGGAAGGGGTGCGGGAGCAGAGCTCATTTGGTGGCGGATGTCTTGTTGGGGTCAGGGGAGAATCCATGGAATGGGGGGGCGGAAACTCATCAACATTGGAAGCGAGTGACATAAAACATGGCACACAAAAACTGTTTACACAAGTCAGGGACCTCACTTTCTCATCCATAATGCTAAACGCATGATAATAAAATCAATAGTTAGGTACATTCTATAGTATTTAGCTGTTATTGTATCTATTACTGGTTGATTGCTTCCATATTGTGTCGAAATTCAACGCTGGATGTTCTGGGTGTGCCATGTTTTATGTCAGTCGCCTGCTCATGCACAGATCAGGCAGCCAAGCTTACGATGTGGAAATGTGGCCCGTTCAGGCTACAGAGGGGAACATTCCATTCCACAAATAGAAGCACAAATAGAAGTAACTATTAGATGAAGCTATTTGCTGTGGTTGCGACATGGGCATCTTCTGATATCCGGGGGGTGCAGATGACAAGTGTTCCGTCTGCCTACACCATGACGGCCGATTTTTTTGCGTCACTAGTGCACCAGTCCGTGCATCCAGACTTTGATATCCGCTCTAGGTGGCTTAACGAGAGAGTACGAGCGGTGATACCTAGGTCAGCTTGGGCGCTGAGAATGGCCGGAACATTTTGGACACTTCCTCAAGGCAGAGCAGCCATGCAATTAGTGCAAAAGTCGCACAGAAACAGTCATACAGAAACACCTTTCCCCTGAGCCACTCAATAGACTCCAAACTCTCCGAGATTTGTGCCTAGATTTGTGAAGTTGGAGAGGGGCCGGCTATCAAAAGGGGGGGAAACTGGGGCCTGTCGGTATGAACCGCGTAGATTCGCCTTCAGGGATCAGCCCTGATGTCAAGCAGGCAACTGCCGTCCTGGAGAGTGGTGGATGGGCCAGGCCCTACTAATGGGATGGCCGGCCGAGAAGAACTGTTGACTGTTGCATACACCGTCAGCAACCTCATATTTGCTTTTTTTCACGCCCACACGAAAACTAGCAGCAGCCAAGACATTAGAGGGCATGACTCATTTGAATGTACCAACTCCAAGGCCCCTTTGCAACAAATCTCAAAAACAACAGGGGAAAGGATAGCGACCGCCTGCACAGGTGTATTTTACCGGGAGGACGTTCCAGATCAGCCCTACCACTTGACTGGGGCACCATGCGTCATCCATTCTAAATGGAGGTCATCCGACAAGACGGGAACCACCGGCTGACGCTATTCTGCTTAGTTCGTTTGGCCTGGCCCCAGCTGAGGCAACGGAGCCTGGCGATCACCCGTGAGGGCCTCACGGTGAGGCTCGCCCACCAGCCATCCCAGTAAGAGTGAGCCAGAATGCAGAGAGCCAATACACCATGTTGCCTATTGAGCCCACTCCATTTCCATCATCTTGCCGGCGTCATGATGGCAAGGGTAGGCGGTATGCAGCTCCCAATCACGCACACTACCGGTGAGGGAGTGGCCCCGCAGAGCAAGGCAGCTGCACAACCATTGAACAGAGGCGAAACGATAGCTGAGAGCCACTTGGGGATTGCCAATAACCCAAGATTGCCACGCACGCCTCTCGAGCAAGGGCGAGACCGCAGTCTGAGGCTTTCTGATTTTCTGTCAGCTCATGGATCATGTCAAAAGTGACCAACTAATACAGCAGTCAACGAGATGAATTTTTGTTCAATATTTTGTGGGGGCTGCTGTTTATTTTTGTCATCTCTTGAAACTTGCTCATCTGCAAGTGTTGAACCGCGCTATTTACCTCTTGTGGACCCAGCACTGGGGTCCTTGGTGGATCAGGGCCCCAGCGCGATTGTCTGAGCTTATTTGTCTTTGGGAGATGGGAACCAGCTGGATGTCTGGCTGTCGCTGGCGAGCATGTATGGACCCCAGGGTTCTGCCGTATTCCAGAGGATGATATGGAGAAGAGCTGCCTTCGACGTGGGCGGGAGCTGAAAGCTGCGACGCGTAAGCTCGGTCACGTACCCAAGTCGTCTCTTCTGGCCATGGAGCAATCCATAGCCGAAGAAAAATCTTAGTTGAAAAGTTATCACACAAGAAATGAGTGATATCACATGAGTTTACCGCGTCTGCTGTCACCTAGCTGGGTATCTGGGTGTGGTTTGAGCGGGAGGCGCCTGTAGGGTAGGCCCTTCACTACGCATGACTCATGAGGCTCTCACTGATTTTCATTGCAATTCATTTGGTGTGCTGGGAGTTGGTGGCCGAAAATTGATTATTTGTTATCACCAAAAGATGAACAAGAGATGATCGTTTCTACGTGCTGATATTCGGGCATTTTCAGCGTGATTCGAACAACGCTCCCCTGCCGTCCTAAGCTTCTCCCCAAATGCTCGCAGCCCAGTCACGCTCTACCACACGCATTATTGCCCAGCCATTGAGGCATCGAAGTGTTGAGGTGCCGACCGGGGAATATCGCTGGATTACAAACCTACCACATCATGGCATCTCGAGTGATCAATTTAGGAGCGCACCTCTTGATCATAAGAAAACCCACCTTTCGCTTTTTTTTATCTCACACCTTCGCCAGGCCACCTGTAGACTTAGCAGTAATCAAGAACTTGCTGACACTCATCACCCACGTTTCGGCGCTTCGTGTGCGGGGCAATGTAATGTCTCCCAAGGGATTTCTCAATGGCATAAACCCACTCTAGAGTGAAGTGCACTTTACATTTGCCGTTCCATGTGTCGGAAGCTGTTGATGATTGTGGGATATCTGGAGAAATTTCCAAGGGAAACGTGGATGCATCAGCTAAAGTGTCTTTTTTATGGCTTTCAATTGACATGTTCATAGAAAGCGTGTGCGACTAATGTTGCGTGGATATTCTTTGAGCTACACTCATGAAGCAGCGACAGACATCCATTTATGACTTGGGCTTCTCATCCACATCCCTTCAGATTTACAGTATGTTCATGGTAGATTATGGGTGGTACTTCCGATACAGCTATGCAGATAGGCAGATTGAGCCACTCAAAACCAATGGGAGAGATGCCGACGACCTTGACTGTAGAGCAGCTGATGCTCCGACCAAACGAGTCCGCTTCGGCGTCCCAGAAATTTCCCCAGCGAAGGTATGGGGAGCCCAACAATCCACGATACCCTCCACATGTTCTGGGACCCCCCTCCCTTCATTTTCCACGGAAAAATCACAGGCGGGGAGCGTTACTTTAATAAGCAGATGCAGAAGTACAAGGATAGCTAGCAAAAGATGACCATGATACCACACTATTTCAATGATGCCTTTTTTTCTCTCACATTTTTCTTAGTATGACCTCAGCTAATTTTTTGATGCGGGAGAAGGTAGAGGAAGATTTAACTCCCAAAGTATTCCACATATCTAACATAATATTGTGTGCTCTGATCTTATTCTAGCGATCGCTTGTTCGGGATCGCTAGAAGATACTTTTTCAATTCTTTTGGTTGCCCCTTCTTCGATATCTTCTCCCAAAAACACCGAGGTGATTGATGCGCGATCGTCAATTATCACAGCACCGTTCAGAAATCCGCCCAACGGATATCAATATGATGGGTTCTTAGATCATTTCTATAGATAATTTGCAAGTTTGAAGGTTAGTGACGAACTCTCCTTGTAAGTTAAGAGGCGATTATGTAAATGAGACCGAGGAGCGCACCTTTGTGTAGATTCTTGCAGACAATTCCCGGGTCGCTCTGAAGTTCACAGCATGCAAGTTTCATTTGAATACAGAACTTGTTGCCTTTTTTTCTGGCCAAGCCGCCGATGGAAGCTCTGGTATCATTGAACTCGAGTAGGAATTTCTATTAAATTTGGAAATTTTCACGAACAAGGAAAGTGATAGTGAGTCGGCGTCATCTAACCGCCGAGCTCAAAAGGCCCTTGCCTCATACGCGAGGAATGCGTTCTGCGAGAAATGCAGCCCTGGCATCTCGAGCTGCCCACTCAAATGTCTTAGGATGAGACAAGAATTGCGGGCGGCTTATTCTTTACAGGAGGTCTTATCGCAGAGCAACCCCGTTGTGACCATTTTCCTTGGTCATGCATTCGCCATTCCCCGCTCACGTACCGTGAATGAAACCTTGAAGTTTTTTCTTCCTTTGATGAAGTTTATACGACGAGACTGATGTAGAATGCCCCGGGCTATGGATTTTGTATCAACGTGCGCAATGGCACGGCGTAGAATAAATATACTCAGGTGGAATGCCCATTATGTAGCCTAGGTAGCCACGGCTTGCACTCTCTACGTGATCTGCTTTCGATCAACAATTGCACATCCCAAAACGCAGAGAATGTGACCTGAGCTGAAGGCGAATGGGAGCAGCGAGACAACTAGACTAGCTGGTCTTGGCTGCCACTGCATCGTGCCGTGCGGCGCGTATGCATGAGGCCAGTGGCCCAACATGCATATCGACGCATCTCGCAGGCGCCAGGAAGAGGTCCGCGAACCACCTCCTGCCACGAGCCTCGGAGCTGAGGTCGGATCGCAGCTTTATCCATCAGCACGGGCGAATGAGCTTGTTGGTCCGAAGCCACTCGATGCACCTGTGTTTCGGTGTGGCATCCATCATCTCTCGCTCGGGCATCTCCGGCGCGTAAGTTGCTTGCTAATAAACAGAGGCACCTCCCGCCCGGCTTCTCCTCCCATCCTGCCACCCATCCACCACACTCGCCGGCCGTATCACCCCGCAAACAACCATCCGTCACACTTGTGTTTTCCTCCCCGCAGCTCTCCCCATGTCTCGTTCAGCAACGTCCAGTGGGGCCAGTTCAACCATGACGGCCATCCCCGGCCATCGCAAAATCCGCGTGAGGTTTGGTAAGTCACATCCAGCTCGCTACTATCTCTTCGGCGGCAGTATCATAACCCGTCAATAGATGGACGCGCGTTCGACATCGAGATCCAAGACACGGCCACCATCAGAGGTCTCAAGCAAAGCATCGAAACCGAAACGAGCATCCCCGTGCCGAGACAGGTTCTCGCGGTCCTCGGGCCCGGCGCCGTCACCTTCCACAATGACATGCTCGTCAAGGACGTCGTGAAGCCCCAAAGCACCATCATGCTGCAGGACTCCGACCTGGGCAACAACCAGGGCTTCCACCTGGGCCACCAGTACGGAGGCACCTTCTCCCTCGGCACCTTTGTCCACCAGGGCGACACCGTCGACCAGGGATTCTGGGGCCAGTCGCCCAGTAACCGCGGCCTCCACGACTTCAGCGACGTCTTCTCTACCAACGGCATCCTCCAACGAGGGGACCACTACCTCGTGCAGGCACCCGGGCCTAGCCTACCACAGCAGCCCGATCACCAAGGCGAGCGCCACCCTGAAAGCGCAGCTGACGGTAGTCAGAGCGCCTCGCGGCGAGGGCATACGTACGGGACTGCGAGGACCGAGGATGCCGACCACACCCAGGGCGACGAGATCAATTCGGGCTGGAACGGCCCGTCGCCTGCGAGTGCAAGCCATCGGTTTGGTGAGACCAGGTTGAACGGAGGTGGGCTACACCAGGGGAACAAGTTTGGGAAGCCTGTCTGATCTGGCGCCCGGTCGGATGACTTTAATGACTGAGCCGTACTCAGGTGCTTTATGACTGAACAAATTTGAATTTTGCCTAATTTTGCTAATGACCAAATCTTTCATCACTTGTGAGTCGGTGACCTGCAACCAACGTAACTGTGGCTCATTGTTGTGTTCCGGATGGGACTCGTAGGCACCCAATCGTGCTGCTTAGTGTGTTAGTCAATGCTTCGTAGTGGGTTTCGGGCTGTAGATTTCGATAGGCTTGGGGAAATTTAGATAGATCAGTTGCTCTGTGAGATTTATCCTGGAACCGTGCTTCGTAGTGTCGCCGGTGTAGAAATGCACAAGGCGGATGATCGTGGGAATGTTTTCACCATGACAGGCGGCGCTCGATTGGAGCGGGTATCAGCACAAGTTGACCACAAATGCCACCGAGACCAGCGATATCCTGATAATACTTGATATCTGCAAAGATCCATTTGCAAAAACTAATTGTCGCTTTTTACACGGAAGCTGCTGGATTGAACTTCCGCCCCAGAACAAACAAGCCACTTCATCACTATTTGTTATCGCGCCTTTGGTCGCTTCAATCAAGATGCCGAAAGTGTTGGGGATTTTTCCTTCTATAACATCGCCTTATTGAATTTTGTGTTGGTACTGAGACTCCGGTACTCTCAATCGTGAAAGAGAGTATATACACTCTATGCCAAATTAAGGCGCAAAACCCGAAGGTAACTGGCAAGGTCGCCCAACCACTTGGACGATCAACGATGGGAAAGATAATGATTTCCTGCCATGATTTTCTTTGGAATGAATGCAGCAAGGAAAACGATCAAAAGGAGAAATGCGACGACAGAGAATCATACCCTGATCTGGTGCCCATCCCGATGGAAGACATCAATGTTAATCATCACACCATCGCCGCTAGCTGCTTGTCAGCTGCTGGAAGTCTGTCCTAGAATAAAGGACATATCGGCTATCAGTGGTATGAAAGACAAAAGGCCTTTTATCGTGCTTACTAGGCGATCTGCTTTTGCCTTCTCTATGAACGTATACCACTTCAATTGCTTTGTTTTTGTATTATATCAATTGATTCTCTTTGTGTTTGCCCCTTCTTTGAAAGACCAACTAAGTCCACTAACAAATATGTTCCTCCCCACCTTCATTGATGTTGTTATGATTTGCTATCTGGAGGTATAAATTATCCATGGGCTCAATAGCCGATCCAGTATCTTATCAAGGTTCGCTTTCATTACTTTAAGCATCGCATTATATAGGCCATTGCACTCAAGAGAACCAAGTTGTTGCTTTACTTCTTTCAAAATATCTCTACTGGAATGTATTCAAAGGCACTTTACCCGCTTCCGCTTGTTGGACACTGTCGAAACCAATCAAGGAACCTATGCAGTGTTCCAAGGAATAGAAGGGCCGGTCCACGTAGCAAGACTTTTGCTCAGTGTCTACGAGATCATGGAATAACAATTGGAAATGACAAAAAGTCTTCTAATTCAAAGGACTTACGGCGGGTTCTGCGACCTACAACACTTCCGTCTCACATCAAGCTCCCCTCCCGATATTCTTTCAAGCAAATCAAGAGTACCTCCCAACTCAACGAGAGTCACGTCAAGAAAACATTACTACCGATTTTGGTTGGTGGAGACACAGAGAGATTTGAATATCCACCAGAGTTTCATTTTACCAACTTGGAAACTATGACAGAAGGCCAAACTTCGAAGCCTGTGCCCGACTACTTCGAGGGCTCCTCATCTAATCATCTCGCCAGAGAGCTGAAGGAAGATTTTGGCGGGATTCTCATTCCTTCAAAAAACCCGGCCTGTCCAGTTGTTCCGAATTTCTTCGTCGAATTCAAATCCAGCCACGGAAGTACAGAAGTAGGCAAGCTCCAATTGGCACATGCGGGCGCTCATGGTGCTCGAGCAATGTATGCGCTGCAGAAATTCGGGAAGGCATCACCTGATGGTAAATGCCATACTCTCAGCTGGCTATATCACGATGGCACTCTAAGACTCTATGGCCACTTCGTGATTTACCCTGAAGACGGACAAAGCAAGCCACTCTACCATATGGAGCAGATCGATGGGTGGCATATGTGGGCTAGTTTTCATGAGTTTTACAGAGCGGTTTTTGCATTTAGGGAATCTCAAGGTATGGCAAGGAGGGATCGTGAAGGCTCTATTAGAGTTGCGAATCTAGCAGTAGCAGCTTTACGCGTAGCACCTTCGCGAAAACTTGTATAGGAAAATGAAAACCTCGGAGCTAGTTCTTTGTTACACTACGTTTATTTTATTAGTGTAGGTATTGAGTTTATTCATTGCGTTGAGATATCGGGCTCGGGAATTTTCAATTACTGTTGAACTTATGACTCGACTTGTCTCTCCAAGGATAACTACTGCTGGTCTAAGCCGGCTACTTACCCTATGTTGAGTATTTCAGGAACGATGAAATCACGTAACTGTCAATTTCTTTTGATTTTCTTGTTTTCTTAAGATACAGTACCAATAATCGCCTTTGGCGAGCCATATTGGTCTAAGGTTATATTAATGTGCCAAAACCTGGTAGAACAGCCTTGATATTTCCTTCGTCTTTAGACGCTGCAGGGCTAAGTCGTTTGCTTAAATAGACTGAAATAACTTTCGGTGACGTTGAGTCCATTTTGGAGAGTTGTATCACTTGTTAAAATAATTAATACATTACGGTCTTGGAAGCTGCCATGAGGCTCACGGTGATGGACTTTTACAGACGCTCGTCATAGTTACACCGAGGTTGCTAACGAGGCCATCAACTCCTAGCTGGCACGAGATATGACCCACGAGCAACACAGCCGCATCCATCTACCTTGCCATTTCTAACACAGGATTTTAGTTTACCAGGGTATCTGATTACTGGCTTCTGCTTGACGCCATTGTCCAGCCGAGAAAACACTAAGGTCTGGGCAACGAGGTATCTTGCAGGCTAGAGCTAGCCCGTATCAGCCACCCGAGGTTCTAAATGGGTTGGTACAGCGAGTGAAGACTAGATGTGTACTAAGTAGTATACAGACAGCAGCAGCGGGACTGTAATATCGTATGAAGAACAACTTATACTGAAAAGGTATTTGCCGGAAATATGCAGGTGCCGCCTGACCCGAGTTGTAAATGCTAAGTGATATCGCTTTAGTGTTGTAACCATACTCTAATGAACTTCTTGGCGAAGCAGGGCTTCAACACCAAGGATCACAGTATTGGGGCTAAGGCTGCCGGTCACCCTTCCATCTATCAACATAGAGTAGCCTCCAGAGAACATGCGTCTCCTCCCACACACTTTGAGCAAAACAGCATGGGGGACAGTCTGGCTTGCCCATCTATAGGGTAAAGCTGGTGTGTAATCCACAGTTCCTCGGCCATTATTTGCTCCTGGAACGCCGGACTGCGGTGTAGTGGGACTACACCTCATTGCTAACCTCAATACAGCTAACATTCTGGACAAATCCTGGCATGACAAGCAATTTATTTTAGCCTGTCCAAGTTCACGATACGATAAGCCCTACCGAGGGGCACTCCAGCCGGACAGGGTTGGAAAGCCCGTCCTCCCTGTTGAAGATCTCTACGGTCGCGTTCATCCGTTCTCTTGAATCTTGGGTTATCTCCAATACAGAAATGTCTTCAGAAATAGCAGTCCAGCTTCGTAAAGCCGATGGTAAAACCGATGACTCCCTGTGAGTATACTGAATCAAGGAGAAACATATGCATATGAATTTCAGTGAGTTGTGATCTTATTACGCGCCGTCACTCAATTCACTGAGGCCAACTGAGAGGCCTCATGTAATTAATGCTGCGGGTAACCTCGGGTCCCGCCCGTTGGAATGTTGGAGGGTTCTTACGCTCGAAGCATCTTGGCGAAGAAAACGTTTAAGAAGAGGCGTATCGCCCGGAGCTAGATGCGAGTTGCGGGCGCGGGTCTGTCTGTACGGCGCCACTCTTCTACCTGGACCCTGGTCAGTTGTGCCGGAACACATGGATACTAGGTAGATGATAACCTTGGCGCTGCTTGTCATACGTCACAAGGAAGAATTATCTGGGGATGGGCAGTGCGCTGAGCGAAGAGCGCTCCCTCAGCCGGGGAAGTCGGCAAAGCAGGTTTGACAGATGATATGCAAGCCCACCGTTTGCCCGTTTTAACCAATTAGAAAACGAGACTAACATGAGTCTGGATACGAACTGGGGAGCGTGATCAAATATTGCAACCGTTGACCGCAAACTATTGATACTCGGTGCTCTTGGATCGGCGCTACTGCAGGTACCAGCAATATCCGAGTGCCCGAATCAGCAAAACAACCTGTAGCTTAGGAGAACTTCTCCCGTGTCTCCTGAGCTCTGAGCCCTGACCATTTTCACACATGGACAAGCGAGTGCTCCACTGGAGTCTCAGCTGTGATGATTGTTCGTCTCCTAAGATATCAGGTAGCCCATCGCTATCTCCACTCACTCGTCACAGTGGGCAGATGAGTGCTCGATTTCAAGCTAGGCGGGACCTTTGTTAGTATCCGCGCTGAAGGGAATCTCTGGGTTTGTCGCCAAGGAGCGCAATTAGTCCTAGTATACCTCAATGGCATGGCATGAGCGGCATGCCGCGTGCCGAGATAAACTTGGTGTAGATATCACGCTGGAGTAGAAATGAATATTAATACAACATCTACTCCCTCGTCATAGCCCGTTGCCGGCTTCGTGGCGTAGAGGTTTCTCACCCAAACTTTCGTTAATCTCGCTTCGCATTCATTTATCCATTCCTTTGATTTTCATTCTTTTAAGCTCAGTCTCTCTCTTTATTCCCCCACACTGTCACAATGAAGGCGCTTTTGGTCGCCGCTGCCGCTTTGCTAGCACCTCTAGCTACTGCCACGGAGAGACCACCTCTCCCTTCCTGCCCATCCGGCAACTTCACTCCTTTTATTAGCAAAGGCTGCTACTCTGATGATGCCTCAAAAGCACTGGACTTCCGCTCCCCCTCGAGCCAATATAGCATGACTGTTGAGCAGTGTACTGCTGAGTGCAAGGGTAGGCAAACTCTTTGAGACCATGGTTCCCAGAACACAACTGACTAGAAATAGGTAACGGCTATCGATATGCTGGTCTCAAGTACTACGGCGTTTGCTACTGCGGCTCTTCGTTAAGTGCTGCGAAAGTTGACGACTCCCAGTGCTCATTGGCTTGCAGTGGTGACGAGAAGGAGGTCTGTGGAGGGAACACCCAACTCTCTGTTTGGGAGGATCCTACCTTTGCGAAATGCGGCAGCGATATCACAATCAACGATTATGAATCTTTGGGTTGCCACGATGATGATGGCTCTTCTGAGGGACGTGCTCTTAATCACAAGCTGGACTTGGATGCGAGCGCGTTTACCATAAAGCTTTGCCTTGACGGATGTAGGGTCCGAGGATATGCCTATGCTGGTACCGAGAACGGCAGTAAGTTGATACAATCTTCATTGTCTTCCTCGGAACTATGCCTCAGACGCGCGAGAAACTGACAATCTTGAATAGACGAGTGTTGGTGTGGTACCAATGTAGGAAGCAAGAACATCAAGGTTGACGATGCGAAATGCGACATGCCCTGCCAAGGTAGTCCATCTGGCAACTGCGGTGGTAAATCTGTTATTGACCTCTATCACGCCAAAAAGCTCGAGTCTGGTGAACCATGCTCTGGGGTAGTTACTCAAGCGCCTGCACCAAGTTCCACTGCAACAAGAACAAGGACAAGAAGGTGCTCTAGAAGACCATTGACAAGCACTTCGCCCGCCCAGAACTCTCTATCAACCCCAGCTACAACCCCATTCCAGGAGTCTAGCACTCCCATTCCCTCTGCAACTTCCCAGGAGTCCGGTACTCCTCTGCCATCCATGACTTCGTCTGAGGGGACTAGTACTGCCCAGCCGTCTACCCCATCATCTCAAGCAGCGAGCACACCCGTCGCCTCTCCATCTACATCACAGCAGGAGTCTTCTACCACACCTCAAGCCTCTGCCACCTCTCTAGCATCAACCACCCCTCAACCTTCCGCCACGATTGACTCGTCTAGCACCCCGGCAGGCACTGAAGCTCAGGGCACATCGTCTTCTGCTCTCTCGACACCTGTGTCTTCGACATCCGAAGCTTCCACAACTCCTACTTCCCCTGGCTCGAGCCCTTCCACGACTGGACCTTGCACTGGTGACGTCGGCTCTTGCTCTGGATCAACTCCCGTAGCCTCATCTTCCACCATTACGCCTTCAGGAGTGTCTACCACGGAACCATGCACTGATAATGTTTCTTCCTCGACCCTTGCTGCATCTACAACACCGCAGGGTAGTTCTACTGCTGGATCTTCGACGCCTGGTGCATCCATTCCAAGCACTTCCACCGCGGTGACATCAACTGCTGGCACATCTACTCCGGTCCCATCGACTACCCAGATCTCTAGCACTGAGCCTTGCTCCGATAGTGTCTCAAGCACTGTTACACCTTCATCATCGAGCTCTGTCGTGTCAACTACCTCCACATTGGCCACCTCAACTCCAAGTTCGCAGCTGTCTAGCTCCACTGCCCCATCCACTTCCCCCAGCTCTACTACCGTGCCAAGCACTACTGCTGGAGCCGGCTCAACCAGCAGTCCTGGTACCACTACCGTTCCGACCACGACACAGAGGCCGAGCACCACCTCTACTCAGCCCATGTGCACGGCCACTCATACGCAGCCCGCCACTTGTGAGTTCAAGTGCGGTAATTGGTGTGCTCCTGCTCTCCCTGGCTGGAAGGACAAGAGCAGCTGTCTCAACGCCGCCAAGACCTGCTCCCTTCAGATTGCTTCTTGCTTCAAGACAGCTGGATGGCCCAAGGCTATTGAATGCTTCGACTTCTCGAAGTGGTGCGGGCAAGTCGAGGAGTACTGCCACAGCGACTGCCCCTCAGGCAACTGCGGAAAGACAGACTGCTGGAACAAGCGCAAGCCGACAGGCTCCAACGGGACACCTCCTACCGTCAGCACCACAGTCTACCCCTGCCCGGCCACGTCTACATTGGCTACCAGTGTGGCCAGGCCCAGCACGACCTCTCACTGTGCTCCTACCCCAACTAATATCTGCAAGCAGCCTACCAACACCGACTGGGGATATGGACCTGGAAAGCCCGTGGCCGGAGTGCCTCTGCCCGTCGTTGGCTGCAACGACAACAAGAAGGACTGGAAGTCCAACCCCTTCAAGTTCTACAACCACCCTGATAGCCGCAGCTGCCAGTCCTTCACATGGAACCAGCGTCCCAATGTCTGTGCAGATGCCTGCCAGGAGCAGTACGAGGACTGCGTTGATACATACGTCCAGAGCTGCAACGATCAGTCGTGGAGGAGCGGAAGCAAGTACCACAAACGTACCAATGACAACGGTGGATGTGCGGCCTCCAACACTGGCAGCGAGTGGCGGAAATCCGGCTGCGACAAGGTTCACTGCTGGGGCCAGGGCGGAAATGATGGCAACACGGCCCAGAAGCGATGCAAAGCACAGTACCAGGACTGCCTGGCTGTCAATAAGAACGTGCAGCCGAGCGACCAGTGCCAATCTTGGTGCGACGCGAAGGGTAATTAAGTTTTGGCCTTGGGTGTGCGATATATAATAATGCAGTGCGAGTAAAACTCTCACAGGATCAGTAGTTCTACCTGTTTTACAATCATTTAAGATCGATCTAATAGTAGTGTTAATTTAATTTTAACTATCGTGTGGCAAAAACGAGAAGCCACTATTTTATTCTATATCTTGAAGGCCACTCGAACATCACTGTATGATGAACTTCTTGGTGATCTACTCAAGTCGAGCCTGTTAGCAAGAAAACTTTGTGGATGGAATAAAACATGGGACATCGAGATAGTCCGTATTAAATTTCAACACAATATCACAATAAATAACCTAGTACTAAATATAATATCCAACTAAATATCATAGAATAATTTATCATTCTCTTATTATTGTGTTTAGTAAAAAAATGAGGTTCCTGCCTTATACAGAAGGAGTTTTGGTGTGCCACGTTTTTTTCTACCCACTTGCCTGGGCCGGTTACTGATCAACACATGTAAGTAATATCCACGGAAATATGTTGAAATAAAAACGCTGACGGAAACGTGAGACCAGGGGTCCGATATTCCATCGCTTGGTATATCTGATGCAAGTCTATATTGAAAAGAGCTCGGGAAGTGACCAACCCCATGGACATCCATGATCACCAACACGCTGTTCTGACTCGCAAAGATCACCGAGTGATCATTTCCGCTGGGCAAACCTCGTCACCCCGCATTTTGGGGCCGGGGGCGGGGCCAGCTCGTCGAAATACATCCAACGTGATTGGATATAGGGAGGTCATCTCGACGGGTATGCCTCTATGGGGTGCAGTAGCGGTGCCGATGCCAAGGATCAGCAACCCGTCAACAAACGACCTCTTATTCAATATGCTTAGCTCAAGGTTAACGGGGGTGAGGAGGAGGGGCGGATTAATATCCGGCGAAAGGGTCGACGCCGATCACACCAGAGCGCGTAGTTGATTGGAGGAGATACTAGTAAACTATATCCTGGTCTGCATTGCTATGATACATCCCGTACTGCAGCGCCAGAGGGTGACATTCTGTGCAACATGTGCCCTAGCTCCCTGTTGCGAGGTCATGGCTCGCTCAATTCACGTCCCGAAGCGATGCTACCTCGTTGGCTTTGAAGTGCGGGGTTAACATTTGGCTCTCCGTTGGCAAAACTTATATATAGGTATATGATAATGCCATTGATGTGATTACCAGCTTTACCTCGGTGCCCAATTCTTAATCTATACCACCACTTCTTCCTCACTCTTAATTGCCAAGGCTCGTGTTCGAGGTGCAACCAGCCCTAGGCTTCATCATTCAAGATGGCGGACACGCGGACTCTCGAAAAGCGAGACATCGAGACTGTTATTGAAGACGGTTCTCATGTTGAGCACAAACCTCAGGTCATCGAGATCGGAACCTTCCGCGTGATTGGTCTTGACCCTGACGATGCGGACTTCTTTATCAACTATCCGGAAGAAAAGAGGAAGAAAATCTTCCGAAAGGTGCTGAACTCTCAATATCTTCCAGCCTATCATCTATGCGAACTGTAACTAACTTTCCACGCTTTGTTTAGATCGACAGGCGGCTCATCCCCGTTCTTGCAATGCTCTACCTGATCTGCCACATCGATCGAGCCAACATCGGAAACGCAAAGATTGAAGGGATGGTTGAGGACCTTGGAATGACTGGAGTTCAATACAACACAGTCCTCTCTATTTGTTAGTTCTGCCAGAATTATTTCGGTCCCTTACTTGGCAACCCCGAAATATGGGACCACTTCCAATTCCCCGTTGGCTGACGTGACATTTACACAGTCTTCGTCCCATACGTTTTATTTGAGATCCCCAGCAACATTCTGCTGAAGAAGTTCAAGCGGCCATCAACATATCTTGGAATTCTCACATTCTGCTGGGGGATTGTCATGACATGCACTGGCCTGGTGCGCAACTTCGGAGGCTTGATGGCCACTCGAGTGCTTCTCGGTATTTTCGAGTTAGTTTTACTTCCTACCCATAAAACAAATACCCTGGCTAACAAACATGACTGCAGGGCGGGATTTTTTCCCGGCGCCATCTACCTGTGCTCCTACTGGTACATGCCCAAAGACATGTCGGCTCGAGTTTCATACTTTTACTGCGCAAGCGCTCTGTCAGGGGCATTCTCTGGCCTTCTGGCCGCAGCCATCGCCAACATGGACGGTGTAGGCGGCTATGAGGGATGGCGCTGGATTTTCCTCTTGGAAGGCATCGTTACTGTAGTCATGGGCGTTGCATGCTTCTTCCTCCTCATTGATACGCCTGCCCTATCAGCACGCTGGCTCGAGCCTGAGGAGATCCGCTACTTGGAACTCTCTATGCTAATCAAGCAGGGAGGAAGCTATCAGGAGGAGTCCAAATTCAGTTGGCGGGATCTCAAAATGGTTGTCACAAACTGGAGAGTTTATGTTCAGGCCTACTTCCTGGTTTGCCAGTCTGCCCTTTCTTATGGTAAGCTTCAGCCCGCAACTTGAGAACCACTTCCCCAATATCACATTTCGGAGCTAATCTTATCTCGTGATTAGGAACCAAATTCACGCTTCCCACAATCACCAAGGCTATGGGTTTTAACAACACGGATGCCCAACTGACATCCGCCCCTCCTTACGTTGCTGGTGCTATCTCAGCAGTCATTTTCGCCAAGTTGTCTGACAGGTTCTTCTGGCGCATGCCGTTCGTCTGTGCCCCGATGCTCATTGTTACTACTGCTTACTCCGTCCTCTTCTCACTGAACGGGGAGCTCTCTGCAAAGAGAGGAGTAGCTTACTTCTCCATCGTGCTTGGAAACATCGGGTTCTTCCCCCTACAAGCTGCCGCCGCCAGTTGGAACAGCAACAACATCGCCCCAGCCTCCCGACGAGCTATCGGCATCGCTTTGATGAACTGTGTCGGAAACGTCGGTGGTATCGTCGGCAGCTTCATGTATCTTGAATCCGAGAAGCCCAAGTACCCCACGGGCTTTGGCCTGAGCTTAGCTTTTGGTGCGTCTGGATTCATTGTCGCACTTCTCCTGGAATGGAGCTACAAGGTTGCGAACAAGAGAAAGGCGAAGCTTGCGCCAGAGGCACGGGTCACTTATACCGAGCAGGAGTTGATTGACATGGGCGATAGGTCACCGCTCTTCAAACATGTTCTGTAAAGATCCTAGCCGAGGTTGGCTGGGACTTTTTAGCGCTAGATGAAGATGAAGAGGCGAGCTGGATGGTGACACAGAAAAAAGTTGATATATTGATGAGGAAAAGAAAGTTTGTGATATTCAGACCAAGCCCAAGTGAATGAGCTTCTTGTACAGTTATTGGAAGCTGTAGTTACTTCTTGAACTTTTCTGTGCAACACTGAAGTGTTAAATCATATCTGTTTGAAGCTTCATAAAATTGCTATGGCTCTTCGAATAGACACCTCGATTCATGGATAAGCGCTTACTTGCCCCTAGAATCCATACATCGGGATAAAAACTAAATCAATAACGTCCTCTATTTTCCATGATCGTCTTTGAGGTGTGACTACTTTGGCCAGGTCTTCACGGCAGTTAAACGATCACACCCCAAACAAGTCTTGTCGAGTCTGGTTTTTGAAAATCACGTGGCATCAGTCATAATGACTTTGAATCTACTATTTCATGAAATATGCATCGAGGAGCACTAAAGGATCACACAGAAAATAACCCTAGCATAGTGTTCATAATCTCACACCGTAACGCCTTTTATTCATAAAATAAAATGGAATCTGAATTATTTAAAAATGAGAATTTATTCTACAACTAGCTAATTTTAACTTATAGGTTTTAACTATTGCTATCTGTACCAGAAGGTGGATGGAAGAAAAGATATGCTAGGGCCTGGTTTATCTGATCCTCACCTAGACTTGCTTGGAAACATGAAGCCATGATCGGGTAGCTTATCCCAGTACGGCCCATGGATCGCGAGTCTTAAGCCGGAGCTCAAGTCGACCAGGGCCGCCTCGGGGTCGTACCTCATCCTTTCCAAAACTGCATTTTCATCCTCCGTCAATTCAAGACAGGTGATCCTGAACAGGCCATCGGCGGCCTCTTCGTATCTCTCAGAGGGCTGGCAGACGTAAGTCGAGATTTTCGATGTTGGCCGATGAGCTGGGCCGACCAATTCTATCGGCCGTGAACCTGGGGTCCCGCAGTGGAACTTCAGCTCTTTCAGCGGCGGAAAGCTCGAAGGGCGCCTCGAACGGAGATATATAAAAAGTTACTCGACAGCAAAGTAGGTCAAAGGGGGCTGAACGAATTGCAGGAGCGCATCCGAGTACAGCTCAAACCATATTGTCAAACTTCGTAGCTTGGGGAACCCTGCCAAGATATCGAAAATATCGTACGGCCAATCACCTTGCCTGTTGATATCAAGCGCCAGCTCCTCGATTACAGGGCATTCTTGTTGAATTTTAAGTAGCGATGGTGCGTCGATAGCGTCTTCTGCCCAATTGTATGGCACTCCCCAAAGGCGGAACTGTTCTTGATGAATATGAAGAACTTTCAGTTTAGATGCGTGTGCAACGATTCTCTCAACCCCCAGTGAAGCAAGTTTGGGGAATACGAGGGTACTGAGAGCGTTGGGAACCGCCCTATAAAATTCCGGAAACTTGCTCCATGCTCTGTCTTGTCCAAATGAGGCTTCGTCAAGCGAAATAAGCTTTGGTGCCAACTTCAAGGCAAGGTTCCAGTCTTTGGTCCGTAGCTTTCTTAATCTGGACCAGTCAAATGTCTCAACCCAGTAATCCTCCTCCCAGCCCTTTCCAGGATAACCAAAGGAGCCTTCAAATGATCCCGTTTCTCCGGGCTCTTTTGCACGTCCAAAGAGGTAATTTTGCAACTCCAGCTCTTCTAGCGCTGGAGGTCGCTCGCCGTTCACGAATCCAAGGCCAAGATATCTGCGTGCGGGGATTAATGTACGACCGCGCCTCCGAGCGCCGAGGTCAATGGCAAGCTTGCGAACGTTGGGGCTGGACAAAAGTATCTGCTTCAGAATCCGCGTCATCTTGATGATGCCGTCATCCTCATGGAAAGTCAAGCACATTCTGAGCGAATACAGATTGTCACTCCCTGTTGTTTGGAGAGGCGTAATGAACTTCGGCGTTGGCCTACGTGGCCTGGCTATGTCTTGTTCGAGGTTGGTGTAAAGGCGAACCAGCTTCATGGGGCGAAGTGCAGCAATGACCTGCTCAGGAACACCAATTGACGAAACGGGAGGGCCATTGTTGAACCACTCCAGGTCCTTTAAGCCAGTGGTCTTTTGCAGGAGCTGGACTACGGCATCGACGTTTTCCCCATACTCGTGGCCTCGCACGTTAATGCGTCGAACAGCTGACGAAAGTCCACTTTTCACGATGTATGCGAGCCGCTCTTGAAGCCGCTCTTTGTTTTTCTTTGATATATCGAGGCATATCTCTCGATGCTGACAATACCGCGCTACATGGTAGTAGTGCGAACTAACCAGTGCGAGGTTCTTCATGGATTTCGGACTTTCAGTACTGATAATGTCGAAGATGATGACAATTAGTTCATTTCCCAGGCTATTCAATGAAGGTTGGGAGTCGTCCCTCTTCTGCGGGGCTCGATACTCGATCAAACGAGGGGTAGAGCCATCCCAGTCGATATCAGCCATTCCTAGGAAGGAATTCTTCATATCTAGCATGGACTGAGGTGCCATTTCGGACAAAAGTGATGAGACAGAAATATCAGGTGTTGCTTTGTTGAATGTGAATACTAAGATACTGGTGATCTGATCATTGTCTGGCGACCAAAGGATGAGCCACGACCGCCTGTCGATGATGAAATGCCAGCTCACCCGAAACCGCGTTAAACACGTGATTAATCTTCCTCGGTAGGAATCGGGAACACGTCGGCTTCGTGCGTCGTATCGGGTCTCAGCAATTGCATATTTATGCAGTACTACGACGCTACAAATGAACAACCCCCTCTTGTAAGAATCGACCTCCCGAAAATGGCAGCTTAAAGTCTTGTGTTGCGCCTTAGGGCGAGAGTCCTCCATGATTTACATAACTAAGGCTTTTAATGTATCTTCTTTGCCCTGGTATTCTGAACATAGTTTATGGATTTTGTGGTGTAAAGAGTAGTACGGTAGCCAAGGTATTCCTTGGCTACTTGACTTTCCGAGGCATGGCGCTCCAACACAGGCTCAAGCCAAGGAGGGTCCAAAATATCAACTTCCCTCGACATAATCTCCTTCGTTTCAAGGGTGTATACTAGTGAAATAGTGGATTATTAACATAGGACCAGCTCCAAGCAAGCTACTGGCATAGAACATGGCACGCCCAGAGCCTCCAGCGTTGAATTACAACGTAATATCACCACAATATCAAAATAATAAGTCAATCATAAGTACAATATCGAGCTCAATATTGTAGAATAATTTATAATTAATTAACCATTATATTCCATATTATTGTTAAGGAAACAAGGTCAGTGGCTGACGTGAAAAGAGCTTTGGTGTACCATGTTTTATATCAGTCGCTTGCCAAGTTAGCCGCAGCTGTTAATAAGGCTTTTCGTATCTCTCGGAGAATGTTAAACGTTAAAAAGATTTTAGAATTTCTGAAACGAGAAACCAGGAGCTTATATCATCCAGCAGCGATTCAGGAGAGCAATATCATGAGCCTCCCAACCGGAAACGCAATGCATGGAGGCATGTTGGACCCTTCACATGCCCTATCGGTTATAAGCTAGGCCAAGCTGCGGGAAGGGCGCTTTTAATGCTCGAAATGGAATTCCCCTCGCCTAAGTGCCCAAACTTCGGCAACCCTAGTTGATCATATCTAGACTTTGCCAAGTTGGCACTAGTTACCATAGCTCGAGTGTTTGTGCTTGGCCAACTCCCTGCTTAGCGTTACATCGGAGGTTTTTGATACTACCGCATCTAACTCGTGATTGGTGTTAGAACGAAGGATTCCTCTCGTGGGCCTTTATCAAGCTTTGAAGGAGGATCATTGGCAGTCATGGGTCTTCAGACTCATGCTTGCAATGAGTTCTCAAACAACTATGACCCGCAGCTAGTTATCAAACTAATGACAGTTTCCTCCAAAAGCCGAGAGAGGCTCAAACTAATCCGATAATGGATACACCACCGACAGCATATGTAGAGGTAACGTAGATCAACAATACGCTCAGTCAGTTTATGTATGGGTCGTTCCCGACACGTGCCATTCTGCATTTCTTTTTCTTCTTCTCGTCGTGTTGTATGGGGGTGTAGGTGAAAGCGACCTGCTTTGTCTCTTGTCTAACCCCCAAAATGGCCGAAACCAAGATCGACTATCTGATCGCGATACCGACCTTCATTGGGTCCTTGCTCTCTTTTTTGGCCAGCGCGGTAGCTATTATTTTACAGATTGCTCGTCCTCCAAGGCGCCATTTCCGTCATGCGCTGATCGTAAACCTCCTCATCTCAGGTAACCAAATCTCTGTGATATTCAGCGAGTATCAAACCCTATATGCTAATTCTTCTTATTTTCTTCATCATCAGATTGCATCAACAGTTTGGGAAACACCATCTCAGGCGCAATATTCTTGTACTTGGGCTACACACTTAGCGATACCACTCCCCCATCTGCTGCGTGCATTGCGAGTGGCTACATCAATCAGCTCAGTGTGCAGACGATTGATTTCAACATACTCATTATTTCTATAATTGTCCTTGTTTCGATTATCAAAAGCGACCTTATTGCAAGGATATCGACCGCCAACCAAATCCTCGTCTGCGTGGCAGCTTGGGTGCCTGCCTTGATAACCAGTAGGTTTAATTTTGATTATTTGAGCAGCGGAGCTGCGCTTTCACGCAAAGATTGATTTTGACCAGATTGACTGACTTGCTTAGGTCATGTTGCCCTTGGCTTGAATGCGTATGGGTATGTGAGCGGAAATTGGTGCTGGATCAAGGCAAGCCGTGTGGATCTCCGGTATGGCCTCACTCACGGATGGCGGCTCTTCATCTTCTTCGCCACAATCATAATCTACACGTACATTTATATCAGACTTCAGCAGACCTTCAAGTCTCTGAGGACATTTGGTGGGACCACGGATACCCAGCCATCGCGTGAAGTCGGCGGATATCTGGGCTCTGATACGGAACACATCTTGGTATCCCATGACATCAGTGTCACGCACGAACTGCAGGAGACCTCACACGGCCGCTTTAATAGCCTACACAATAACTCTTCTCAGGGGGTCAAATCAATTATGGGCAACAGTTTTGGGGTGTCTCGCCCGACTTTGGAAAGTGTCAGCGGGCCTCGCTACGCGTCGCACATGCCAGCACCGCCCAACGTGAAGAAGATGTTGCTCATGAATGGGTACCCGCTTGCTTATATTATTTTGTGGATTCCAGGTATTGCGAATCGGCTGGCAGAATCTACCGGGCAGTCACCTCGGTGGCTCAAGGCCTTGCAAGCGTCGACACAATACGTTGGCCTCGTGAACTCTATGACTTATGGTATAAGCGAGCAAATGAGACAGGAAGTGTGGAAGAAACTAAAGGGACCCAGCAGTTCTCAGGCTAATCAATAATAATAAAGAATGAATGATGCAGAGCTTTATAGACTCGTTTCTTTTGTAGTGAATGATGCGTCCTAGTCTTCGTAGATATTGTACCATGTGATTAGAAACTCGCTTTTACAGTTTGAAGTTGAGGGGTATCAAAATGAAATGTTTTAGACAAAAGTGGCAAAACAGAGTTATTTTCAACTTGAAGGCCATGTGGTGGTTATAAATCGATACATGCATTTGATGAGAATGGCTAGTATTTGGCTTCATCAAAATAATTTACTAGCAATGAGATGATCAACTGCTAGAGCTATGGCCAAGATCGGCATATTGAAACTAATAAACATCCATCAATGATTTTCACTGGCGAAATCTCGATAAAAAAAAGAATACTGATCACGCTCAATGAACTCAGACTCAAGCACAATTTGCATTCCGAAGTGAAGCTCGATCTCATGTTCTTATGAACTTTCTACCAGCCTTTTCTCCTCTGCTAGTACACTCTGAATAGCGGGATTGGAAATCAGGTCACCTGCTTGGTCCTTGCTCATCGGCAACAGTGGCCTTCGTGGCAATTCGCCATGACCTCGCACTAGATGCACTAACATCTTCAATCCGGCTATCTGTATTCATAAATCTCAGCATATGAATCGCTATATGGAGCTTCCCTTTACCACTTACCCCAATTTTCTGGCATGCACCGTCTGCTAGTGCCAAGATTGCCTGTAATCGTTGTGCTTCCTTGTAATCATCTGAACCTGGAATAGAGCCAGACAGCTCCCACAATCGGACGCAAGTTCTCTGTGGATTTTGATTTAGTTCAGCATAACTAGTTGCTGGGATAGAGAGACAACATACCGGTGCAATATTTGGAAGCCCGGAAATAGCCTAGAATGAGAACTGTCAACGACATCGACTTCCATTCCTTAATCAATATCTACTCACTCCTGCAGAACCACTAGCGATCGATGGAAGAAGAATATCGATGAACCCATCTATAATTCGAAACTCCGTTTGCTGGCCTTGGCGTGGATACTTCTGTTGAAACTCAGCAGTCGAGATGACCGCATTGAGGCGTGTAATTTTCCCAACCGAGGCACAACTAGTCAATGTTAGTTCTAGTGAAAGGGGTCATGGAGGAGAATTGATATCAATGTCTTATGTGTGAAGAATCACGTACGTAAGTTTGACACCCACGACATTCGGGCAGGCCTTGATTACATCGACGATTATGTCACTATCCAAGTCAATCCCCCCAGACACGGCCGGAAAATTGTAAAGCACTATAGGCAATGGACTTGCTTCTGCCACATCGACAAAGTACTTGGTCAATGCCGTTCGATTGGACAGCTGTCCCGCATAGTAACCCGAGGGCAGGACCATGGCATAGTCGGCACCGGCCACTTTCGCATCGTGGGCCAATTGGATGGTCTCCCGTGTGCTTGGGGCACCGACGCCTGCGACAATCGGTACGCTGCTCAGATTCCCTTCTCCATCGTCCAGCACGTCGCGGGCTGTCTTAATTAACAAGCTGCGTTCCTGGGAGGTCAGATGAGGAGCCTCCCCGGCAGACCCTGCTAGTACAGGAACGGTCCCAGCGGCAGCAACGTATCGAACGTGCGTCTTGTAAGCTTCGAGATCTAAATCTTCGTTTGGTTTGAAAAATGTAGGAAGGGGCGTGTAGATGCCCTTTGGCAGGGGACGACTTGTCAGGCGAGTCATTGTGGACTTAGGAAATTATAGAGCACTTGCTCTCAACATACGATGTACCCTGTTGATATGCAAAGATGTAATCAACTATATTTATCTTCATCTCGGCGCTAGCACAGCCGTTTGGCATCTTGGAGCTAGTAGCTAGTAGACATCACCGAGGCGCCGACGGAGCGAAAGATGGCGCCGAGGATGGGGACGCAGGTGTGATAGGATCATCCAATCTACTACTTATCCAATATTCGGAAAACCTACGGATTTAGAATATGATATTTGGGAAAAGTATCTTGATCTTCATTTCACACTATGTTAACACTAGAAGACCTAGAATACACTGTCATCTGAAACTAGATACCCTACTTGATCCCAGACCCATTACTCTGACAAATCAACTGGAAGTTGTCAAATCTTCCAATACTACGCGATGTTACTTAGAGAGTGTAC